AAAACTTTTAGAGCAAAATTTATAATATACATATATACAAATATATAAAATATTTCTTTAATATACTCGTACTTACGATTAAATAAATCGTTCGATCATCTTGACCAGCTTCGAATTTTAATCGAGCAGCTATATAAAGAGTCTCTTTTGTCGTGAGAAACGGTAACAGAGCGAATTGTTGCGGCACGTAACACACTTGTTTGCGGAACGATCCTTTATTTTGCACTACGCCATTTACAGTGATAATGCCTTTAACGTTTAAAAATTGCTCTCCTGATATAACCTTCAAGAGCGTCGTTTTCCCCGCGCCAGATGGGCCGATTATCGTCGTGATTTTTCCCGGGTCAAAACTACCCGATACATTAGATAAAATCGTTTTCTTGCTTTCTATTATAAAAATTTGTCATTAAATGTTTGTCATTAAATGAGGGTATGTGCAAACAATGCAATGTTAAAATCATCCCCAAAATTTGTTTACTTATCAAGCTATTTCGCATTTTACTATTTACCAATTAAATTCTTTCCAATTCTTCCGCGGATTTTCTCGGTTTCTTATCTTCTTTACCGGAAAAAAATTAATGTAGCAGATTTTAATCGAATACACGTGAACTTTTTTAAACAAATTTCTCCATCCTTCACAAATAAAATAAATATCTCAATATAATAAAAAAAAAAAACAACATCATTGAACGTTTCATGGAAGCCGGAAAATATGATTAAATTAGGTTCATTTAATAAATTGCTATTTTATCATTTAAAAATGATCATGTATAGAACAGAAATCGTACGAGATCCGTATGAGATAGAAACCAAAAAAAATCTATAGGGAAAAGACCGATTTTTCTGACCTTTTACATCTAGAGTATATTTAGAAAGCAATCTATTAGCAATTTGAATCATAAATTGACGGTAGATCAAGCGTGACTTTTTAGAACTATTGTCTTCAGTAGTATAGTTCAGCAATGTACCGGTAATTTGTTCGTATCCTTGTTTTTTCGTACGGGCTTTTTTCGCGTACGGAGAAAGTGAACATTATATTAGAATGCCAGTTCGCTTTCTGCCATCAGTCTGTTATCATATTTTCTTTAATAATATAATTCAATAGTATATCGGTAATTTTTTTCGTATTCTTATTTTATACGAGGAAAGCGAACAGGATCTACAGTATGTTCCATTTAGATACATTAGACGTCATAATCTGCTCGATTTCTGCTCTATTAGTCTGTTATTATATTCTATTTTATTTTTAGCAGTAAGTTGCTTACGGAGTCTGCAGCAGACACTGCACAAAATCTGCAGACTTGGATATTTGGGTAATTGTACTCTTGTTAGAAGACTCAGATATTAGTCGAGTATAAAAAATTTAGAGATGCCGAGATAACGTTAAGATAACACGAATCAAAGAGCGGCAAGCACATATATCAACTTACAAGGTAACAACTGAAAATTGACTATTGACTTCGATAATTATAGATAAGCATATCAAACCGTCAAACGTATTTAGGCCGATCCGATGAATTTCCTCATGATATAATACAATATAGCAAGGCCAAATGACAGAATGAATTTTTCCACAAATTTTTTCAGTTTCTTATCTTTTTTACGGAAGAAAGTCAATATAGTAGAGAATTGACTATTGACTCCGATAATTACAGATAAGCATATCAAACCATCAAACGCATTCGAGCCGATCCGATGAGTTTCCTCATGATATAACACAATATAGCAAGGCCAAATAACAAAATGAGTTTTTCCACAAATTTTTTCAGTTTCTTATCTTCTTTACGGAAGAAAATCAATATAGTAGGTTCTTCAAGGGTTCCTAAAGTTTTCTCCTTTCCTAAATAGTATTTCTTTCGGATATAATGGATAGGTTCATAATACACACGTATAGGTTCATAGTTCAATATTTCGAGAATGATACGATAAAGATTATTGAAATTTCTGTTACGTATTGTTAGTTCGATTAACTTTTGTTGCATGCACATATTATAGATTTATCTTATATGTTAATTCAATTAACTTTTGTTGCATACATATATTATAGATTCATCTTATATTCAATCAAACTCTAGAATCTCCTTAAGGCAGTTAGAAACTGTGTTAGGTTTACGAACAAACGCGCGGCGATACATCGACTCCCAATGGAGTGAAGTCGCGGGAATCGCACTTTCACAGAAATCTAGGGCGACTAATTTACTTACCTTTATTTTTGCAATAAACTGAGTAACAGATATCGTTAAATTCGATGCGTAGCTGCGGCTTTTGCGAACCTTCCGATTTCATCAATCCTTCACACTCCTCCAAATGTATCGTACAGCCGTCGTTGGGTATTTTAGCCGTCGTTGCGTCATTCTTATTATCATTATCCGGCATATCGTAGACACTCGCAGGGACCATTCGCAGCAATCCAATTAAACTGTACGAGTAAACTGCACGAATAAGCTCGGAGGTTTGTTAAACGATAATCAGGAAATCGCTGTGAATTGCAAATACCAAATTTCGCTGAACGAGTCGGTTATACTTTCATTTTTCAGCTGACTTACCACTCGATATATGTTTGATATCAAGCGTTTTACTTTATAAACGAAGGAGCAGCGCGCACGCCGAGTATCACACGCGAGTTCTCAACCGCGACTGCAGAGTCGCAATTGCTTCCATATTACTGACGCAGCTTCACATGCAATGATGCAACTATGAACGTGAATGTTATCTCGTTTAACATGCATATATATACCAATTTATTATCAGTAAAAAAACTTGTTGATACGAATCAGATTTATTTTAAATGCACGTAATATAGACACTTGAGTAAAAACACATTTTAATATGTAAATATATTTTATACGATGTATAAATTTTTGCATTACAAATTAAATAAATAATGCGTGCGTAAATGTGTGATTCATCATACAAATTCAAGATTCCCTGTCTTTCCACGAAAGGGACCATTTAATTACTCAAATTGCCAAACTTACGGAAATAGATTTTACGCAGTATCTGTTATAATCAGGGTGTTCACTCAAGCCGAAGAAAAAATTGTTTCTGTTTTTTTTGTCTGACCTTCCCAGGCAATTTGTTGCAAAAGTTCCAAGTAAAATTAAAGCATTTTTAAATATATCTTGCAAATGAATATGTATTTATAGTGCAAAGTCCTTGATATTTTTCATTCATAAAAGTTTATAAATCATAAAGTAAAATTAAAAGTCACCCAAGTTTTAATGATCAAATTTGAAAAATTTTGAAAAAAATTGTGAAGACTAAAAAATAAATATCTTATATTGCATAAAACTTGAAAATTTTATTGGGAGTGTAAATAAGTTCTCGCCGTTTTTTGTGAAAATAAATCCTTCATTTTAAAAAAATAATAAAAAAACAAGTCAATTAAAGTATTGCCCATCGCTGGAGACTACTTTTTCCCATCTTTCTGGCAGCATTAGAATTCCACGTCGAAAAAACGACACTTCTTTTGCGGCTATCCACGAATCGATCCATTCTTCGTTTCTTCATGCGAAGTGCTGCTCAGCCAGACCGTTACTCATCGATCGAAATAAATAGTAATCAGAAGGCGCAATGTCTGGAGAGTACGGCGGGTGGGGTAGGACTTCCCATTTCAGCGTTTCTAGGTATGTTTTAACCGGTTACGCCACATGCGGCCGAGCGTTATCATGCAGCAAAATCACCTTATCGTGTCTTTGCTCATATTGCGGCCGTTTTTCTTTCAATGCTTGGCTCAAACGCATCAATTGTCGTCGATAGAGATCTCCTGTGATGGTTTGGTTGGATTGGAGCAGCTCGTAATACACTACCCCCAGCTGATTCCACCAAATGCACAGCATGAGTTTGGAACCGTGGATATTCCGCTTTGGCGTTGATGCTACTGCTTCGCTGGGCTTAACCCACGATTTTTTACGCTTGGGATTACTGTAGTATATCCACTTTTCATCACCAGTCACAATACGATGA